TTATAACGCAAACGGGAATAGATCCCAAAGTGAAGAACTGTAAAGTTCGTATAAAACGACCTGGAGATAGTCGTATTTTCTCCAAACCAAAAAAATCGAATACTGTTAGTGAAGTTGTACGTTCTGACGAGGAAATCACAGCTGAAGCAGCTGCAAAAGATATCTTAAGTCTAGAAATTGAACATGATGTACTTCCGATGATCGATTGTAATTATTTGAATTTGGAAGGTACTAGCGACACCAGTGAAGAGAAATCAACTTCTGTTACAAATAACTCCCGAAAGTTCATACGTATAAGAAAGAATTATTTGCCAGCTGGGCTCTTCTCAGATTTCTTTAAAAAAGAAGTAACTGAAGCTTTAAAGAAAAACTATGAAAAGTCTGCGAATGATTCTCAACTTCTTGATAGTAACATCATTGCCAAACCAACTTCTTTGCTTCCTCCACCACCATATTGTGAAAAATACCTACGACGTTTACAAAGAGACTTTGAACTTCCGTTCGATGTTTGGTGGGCATACAAAAATTCCAAACTACCTATAAGAAATACTGTACCATCTTGGAACTATAGAAAAATACGTGTTAATATATACGCTGATTCTGTGCGTCCTAATCTAGCAGGTTTCGACCATCCTACTTGCAACTGTAAACATGATATTGGCTGCGGTGACAATTGTCTGAATCGTTTGGTTTACACAGAATGTTCCCCATCAAGTTGTCCTACACGTGAAAAATGTCACAATCAAAGAATTCAACGTCATGAAGTTGCACCTGGTGTGGAACGTTTTATGACTGATAATAAAGGCTGGGGTGTACGCACAAAGTTACCTATACAAAAAGGTACCTACATATTAGAATATGTTGGTGAAGTTGTAACGGAGCGGGAATTCAAAGACCGTATGGGTACGATTTACTTAAACGATAATCATCATTACTGCTTGCATTTAGATGGTGGTCTGGTAATAGATGGACATCGAATGGGAAGTGATGGGCGTTTTGTGAATCATTCATGTTTACCGAATTGTGAAATGCAAAAATGGTCTGTGAATGGACTTTCGCGTATGGCACTGTTTGCAAAACGAGATGTCGAAGAAGGCGAGGAACTCACATATGATTACAACTTTGCATTATTTAATCCTTCTGAGGGTCAACCATGTCGTTGCAACACTCCACAATGCCGGGGCGTTATTGGAGGAAAATCACAACGTATAAAACCTTTACCAATAGAAGCAAAAGTAAGTTACGATAAAAACAACAATGTTATTAAGTAATCTTTTTTATTGTGATATTTTATATATACATTTTTTTTGTAGCCAATCGAGCCTAATTCTGTAAAGGACGGTCAAAAATGTCGGCAACGTAAAAGAAAGGCACGAAAAAATGCTCAACGCTTGCATTCAAAGGACATTGTTTTAACTCGCACACAACATTTATCAGAAAAAGAAAAGAAGATGGTCATGCAATACAAAATATTTTTAATAAGAAATTATGAGAAGGTTTGCATAAATTTTAATTTTATTATCTACAAAAAATATTAATATTAAATAAAAATATTTAGATTCGACGTTGCAGAGCAAAACAAAATCTGAATGATATGAAGACCAGCGCAAATATAGCTTTACCTACTTCTAGTACGAGTTCTGTAGATGTTAGCAATCGTAGACCTTCAACGCCACCTTCATTGGCCGCACAAATTTCTGCTTTATGCTCCAATCGTAATATAAAAACTCGTGGTTTGAGTGTTGCGGTTCAAGACCCTGAACTAGAAAAAATGGCTAAAATGGCCGTAATATTACGTGACATTTGTGCTGGTTTGGAAAATATACCAGATCCGCAAAGTGAAACAACAATGTTAATACAACTACTTACAACTAGCATCACAGGAATTAGTGGTAAAAAGAAAAAAGCAGCAAAAAACTCACTGAAACAAGAGGCTATTTCATTAAAAAAGGTACAATGCAATATAGAGCAAGGTTTCTATAAGGAACCTTCAGAATTTGATAATGATATGCAGAAATTATTTGAGAACTCCAAAAAACTTTTTCACAAAGACGATACAAAGTTAAATGCATTGAACACACTAATATCCGAATATGAAAACATAAAACAAGAGCACTATAAACATTTATTAGAGTTAAACTTTGTTGAAAATGAACTTAAAAATTTTCGCCCAAGTAACTTTGAGACGAAAGACGAAATTGAAAGTTCTATCGACATGAAAATTACAGATGAAACAAATTTAACATTACTCAGCACTGCAAGCGACAAAGATACATCAACAAATAATGAAGATATCATAAGATGTATATGTGGCCTTTATAAAGATGAAGGTTTAATGATACAATGTGCTCGTTGCATGGTTTGGCAACATACCGAATGCACAAAAGCAGATATCAATGCCGATCATTACATGTGTGAAAAATGTGAACCACGTGAAGTCAACCGTGAAATACCATTAGAAGATTTCACAGAGGATGGTCATCGTTATTATCTTTCACTGATGCGTGGTGAATTGCAAGTGCGACAAGGTGATGCAGTCTATGTTTTGCGTGATATTCCAATTAAGGATGCTGATGGTAACATAGTGCCGAAAAAGAAACATACTTACGAAACAATTGGCAATATCGATTATAATGAGTGTGATATATTTCGTGTGGAACGCTTATGGAAAAATGAAGTGGGTAAACGATTTATCTTTGGACATCATTTTTTGCGACCACATGAAACTTTTCATGAACCATCAAGGCGTTTCTATCCAAATGAAGTTGTACGTGTGCCATTATATGAAGTAGTGCCAATTGAGTTGGTTATTGGTCGTTGTTGGGTACTTGATCGTACAACTTTTTGCAAAGGACGCCCAATGGAGTGCGTATCGGAAGATCATTGCTATATTTGTGAATTGCGTGTGGATAAAACTGCACGTTTCTTTTCCAAAGCAAAAGTAAATTACCCAATATGTACCAAAAATTATGCGTTTAGGAAATTTACAGAAAAACTAAAAATTTCGAAAACTTATGCGGTATGTTTAAAACAATTTCTACAATTTATATAAATAATTGATGTGATATTTTATTTTATTTTCAATTAGCCACACGAAGTTGACCCAACTATGCTAAAATCGAAAAAACAAAAAAATGAAATTGAATCTACTATATCATCAGCTTCTCCAATTTCATCTTTATCTTCCAGAGATACAAATAAAACCCCTCAAAGTACTCGAAAAAAATGTGGAGGAGTGCATTTGTTCAAACCAATTCCACCAACACAACAAGTAAGTAATAATACAATTAATTAATTATGTTGTAATATATCGTTAAATAATTTTTATACATAAAAACATTAACCTTTTATTTACAAAATCTAACTACTAATCTAATTATAAATACAGATATTGAAAATGGTTTCAGAGTCAAATAAAGAAAGAAACGAAGTTATCAAGTTGTGACTCAAAATTTGGCAATCAAATATGCTTTGTTCTTGAAAATTTTTTTCGAATTTTAAAATTTACAATACATCTATACTTACATGCACAAATATATTATTTATATACATAGTTGCAATAATAACAGTTAAAGCAGAAACATCTGTGTTATGCGTCACCGGCTACAAATTTATGTTATTCTTACTTGCTGTTTACTTGTCGCCACAGAATAAATAAAACAAATTTTGTGTTTGATTTTACAGAAAATATTTTTTAATATGGCAAAAGGGTGTTTGTTAAGTCGATAGTAAAGGAAGGAAGTAAAATTTTTGTTTACTTCAAAATTTATTTTTTGACATAGCCTATTTAGAGTTCTAAACATTTGCTGCTACGTTATTTAAATTTTTTTTTACCATCTCAAATTAAAATAATGCTAAAAAAAACTGTTGAGTTAGTTTCAAACCAACTTCAATCTCACTTATTTTGGGTGGAGAAATGGTTGTCAAAATGGCGAATTAAAGTTAATGAACTAAAATCTAGACACGTCATTTTACTTTAAATTGAAGTATATCTTTGACAATTTTACTAACATTCCCGTACCACAAGCAGTTAATATAACGAATATAGATATAAACACATTTAAATCAAAAAACTCAAAGCCTCTTAGTTACATTGGCTCATTAATAACAGATCGTCCCTGTGGCCAAAGTATAAAGCAGCATCATAAAACCAATATAAACACTTAATAAAACCAATATGGAATAATGGTATCCAGCTATTTGGTAATGCTAGTGCTTCAAATATTAAAATTATCCAAGGAGCTTAGTCAGAAATACTGAGAACAATCACTGGTATGCGATGGTATATTAGGAATGAAAACATCCACCGAGATCTAAAAATTACCTTAGTTAAAGCTGAATTTGACAATATAAGCAAAAAATACGATAAAAGGCTAATAGAACATGTCAACCCTTAAGCAAGGAATCTCGCACTTCTATCCAATACTTCCCGTCTAAAAAGAGCTGACTCAGCTGAGTCATTCATTAATATTCAATAGCTTGAAGTAAAAACCGCACCTTTCTTTTTAGTAATCTGATAAAGTTTAACTGCTTTCTTAATAAACCACCTAACATTCACTCCAATGAAATTTAACCCATTGATCTAAGTGAGGTCCGTGATATAAGATTTACTTATTTTATTTTATATTATACTATGTGTAGTTAAAATAAAAAATTGTAATATGTGATTAGTGATAAGATTTTAAAACTTATTGTTAGTCTCATTGTAAGAGAAGATACAATAAATAAATTATAAGTATTAAAAAAAAAAAATTAGAATAAAAATCGAGCATCTCAGCATATTCATTAGGTTCAGAAACTATGTTCGAAATCGATTGAAATTTTTTTGCAACAAGTTGTTTTTTCGAATTAGAAGATAATTAAAAATCATTTATTTCATATACATACATACATTAGTCGGCATAAGTATTTTGACGAAACGTTTTTTTAACTACAGAACTAGATTTATTTAGTACCGTTAAATAACGGCGCGAAAATAAAGCCGAAAACAAAAAATATATTTTTTTCTCTTTCTGCTGATAAGAATGCCAGCAGACAACGAATTTTTGTGTGGCATAAGTATTTTCACAAAATCTTTGAGTAAATTGTTTTTCACTTTTGAGCACGTAAAAACGAAAAATACTTTTATATTTAACTTTAATTGATATTAAAAAAAAAAAAATAAATAAATAAAAATTAAATATAAATTATTCGACATCATGGGCAAAACGACTGAGTTGAGTTTGGTTGTCAGATCTTCAATCGTAGCAAAGTTTAATGCTGTAACGGCAGTAAAAGATATAGCAAAGGAGTTTAAGGTATCGCGTCAAACTGTTCACTATCAAATTAATAAGTTTAAAAAAGGTGCTTAACACTAAACAACACCAACTGAAGACCGAGACCTTCTAAAGAAATTCAAAAAAAATGTTTTTCTAAAACCTCAATCTGCTGCAGATGAATGGAATTTGATGGCCAAGAATCCAATCAGTGAGAGCACTTTCCGACGACGTTTAAAGGAAGGAGGTTTTAAAACAGTAAAAGCTAAGGATGTGTCGTACATATCAAAGACAAACAAACTTAAAAGACTGGCCTTCGTTAAGGAACATCTGCAAAAGTCAAAAGAGTTTTGGAGAAGAGTTCTATGGACAGATAAAAACTCCTTTAAGTACAATTCATCAAAGTTTAATGGGTTAAAGTGAAACAGATAAAGTACAGATAAAGTAAAGTGGATTCAATACCGAGACGCCATCAAAAAGTTATTAAAGTAAAAGAAGGTTATACATTTTTCTAAATTCTTCTTCATTTTTTTTACTTTTGCTAAGTTTAAACTTCGTTCTCTTAGCATTATATACTTCTCAAAATACTTATGCCAATATATGAAATTACTAATTAATTTATACTTTTTTAAGTTTGTTTGCATTAGTTTTAAATAAAAAGAAAAAAACATAAGAATTTTTTAAAAAGCCATTTCAAAGTTGAACTCAAAAATATATAGTTTTTATTTCGTTAAAATACTTATGCCGACTAGTATATGTCATTAAACCTGTTGCATGCGATAAATGTGACTGCTACAATTGCTAATGCTATAGTTACAGAATTGCTTAAAATCATTATTCAAGCAATCTAAAAGTTTGATTTTCTTTGGCTCTATGATGTTTTGTTTTTGTAAGATAGCCAATCATAAAAGTGTAGCTGTTTTCCTGTTGTTTGAAGGTGAATGCATGAGTGAAGTATTGAGCAGAAGAACTTCAATATTTCGACTGTGTTCTCCTATGATTTTTTCTTCTACCACTACATCACGGATTTAATGCACCTAGTTGATCCCTCAGCTAAACGTCCTACTCGTTTAGCATTTTTGCGCTCATAGGACCTTAATGAGTCCCCATATTATCTATTACGCTTTCTGTTTGTTTGAAGAATATGAGACGATCGTATATTGAATTATTTATTGTTTATTATAATTAACAAATAATTAACAAATTACCACAAAGTAGTAGTAACTAACCATTGTCTAAAGTACTTACTGAAGCGATTTTTTCAAAAAGGACTGTTTTGAAGAGTGTTGACGAATCTCAATAACACCTAGGTATACCTAAGTTAATTTGCCTGCCTCTTTGGCGTTAGAACAAAGGAAGAAAATCTAATTTTTTAATACTGCATCGGCTATGGTTTTTTAATGGAAAAAAATACGCATAAGCAAATTCTCCAAATTCTCCTCCATCATAGACAATTGTTGAACGTTCGCGCTCTGGTCGCTCAAGTAAGGCGGTTACATTGGAAAACGTTAAAAAAGTTCGCAAAATTTTTTTGGAAAACCGTATAGTAAAGTTGCAGGAGAAATCCGATACCGTTAATATATCAAAGGAATGAGTGGAGTTGTTAGTTAAAATGACGAAAATGTACGAACTACTTCTTTATATACTTGAATTCCTCCTGTATCCACCGTATACGTTAGATTTGGTGTCCAGCGACAACTGCCTGTTTGCAGACCTTAAAAAATACTCAAGAGAAAAAGATATTTGTTCAATGACAAAGTCGTTCTCCAAAAGAAACGCTGATGAATACTCTCTAACTAAAGATAAATTTTTCTATAACAGGGGTTCCAAGGTGTCAGAGAGAAGCGCAATAATAATTCTATTACTCTTAAAGAAAATCATCTCAATAAATATAGTTAAATTTTGCCAAAAGATTGTCTTTTAACAACTTAGCCTTGGGGTTTTCTCAACCATGCTACTTTTCTATAATTGTTTCTGCCTCCATAGCTACGGAACATAGAAAAAAAAACAATTAGAGAATTTTTTGTTTGCATTGTATACATTCAGCTCTTACTCAAAGTACAGTATAAAGTATATATTACAAACATATACTATATATACGTATACTGTATTTTCTAATAAGTCAAATAAAATTTAATTTTGAATTATATTATTTTTTTATATAGGTTATTAAGGAGAGACGTGCACGTTTGGAAGTATTTCTCAATATGATGAAACTCAAGTTTAAGAATACTCAATTGACCAATGAGCCACCAAGCGACTTATCTTATTTATTATCAGGACGTGGTGCAAGGCAAAGAAAAACAGCAACTATAATTTCTACGACTAGTGTGCCTACCTAATTTTTTTTTTATTACTTATATAATAATTTATCTGTTATTTATTGCATGAATATATAATTTAACATTAATAAGTGGTGTGTGTAAATTTATCTGCACATGCTTTTTTTAACGTACTTCATTTTTATTTTAGTTTTTTTTTTAAACCTGTTAAGAGGGATCTTTACACCTTCATAGCTTAGACTCTTAATGGTACCTGTATTATAGTAGTCATAATATACCCTGCGGAAGCTAGGCTAAAACACACTAAATACATAAAACTTAATTGTTAACTAATAAATAAAATAATGCTTTCATAAAATTCAGATACTGAATCATTTATATAGCAAAAATATACAAAATATATATATATATTTAAATCGTTTTTTATTATTAATACTGTATGTATATATAATTTTCCTAATTGAAGATGCACAAAGCTTTTATGACAAAACCATATTTTTTTATATAACATATTATGTATATATTTATCCACTTAATTTTTTTTTTTTATTTTACTTTTGTGATTTTTTTTTGTTTTTGCGTCTATGTTTTTTAAATTTAATTTTTTATGTACATATATTTTTACTCGTTTTTTCAATTATATATAATAACACTAACCCTTACGACTAACAATATTTAGTATAAATAAAAAAATGTAAAAAGAATTTTATGTATATAGAAATAAATATGTAAAATCTAACATTTATATAAAATTATGAACAAACGAACATTTATTCTGGTTATTTATGAATTTATGTAACAAGTTTTAAAATATTGTGAACATTAACCCTTTTATTAATATAGTTAGATATTAAATTAGCATAATTTTAATTAAAATTATTACGCATGTAAATTAAGAATGTATATAAATGTAAGCTGCAACTATAATAAAGCGAATATACTAGTTTATTCTTGATAATCGAAACTGTCTTTTTCAAAAACTGAAACGCACTTGTGGCAGCGCTTCATTCAATTCTGGAAACATGTTCTTAAATCGAATTTTTGTTAGTCGCTAGAACCGTATTTAATTTTTAATTAAACGTATTCCCCAAGTTGGTGGTCTTAAGTCATTCAAACAATAAAAAACCGTAAAAAGACAAATCATGCCTGTTCGATACCTTTTCGATGGTATTGGAACTGTTCTTGGTCAAAAAGTTATTAAGAAAAATGATATGTGAAGGTACGTTATCGTAGTGAAAAATCCATTTGTTTATTCACAAATCTAGTCCTTTTGTGTCTAAACAGTCTGTTGACTGTTTAATTGACAAGAATTCATTATATAGAACACTGTCGTATGTCATGAAAACCATGAGCATGGACTTTTTCTTGGGACTAAAGACGTGGTGTTTTCGTCTGATGCCTGGATTACGGCATCCTCGTCTCATATCCAGTTGTAATACGTTTAATAAGCGTTGAGTCGGATTCAGCCGCTGAAATTACAGTGGCTCACAGCTAATTTTGTGCAAGCAATATTTATAAGCACCTGACTTAAATGTTACAGAAAATTTATAGCGTCTAGAAATTAACATAAAAAAACATAACATTTCTAGCAAGGAAAGTATGAAAGCTGCTTTACAATTGGAATGGCAAAAAATATCAATGAAATATACCTTAAAATTAGTTATGTAGATGCATTCAAGGTTGGAGGCAGTCATTAAAATTTAAATTTAATTAAAATTTAGTTTTCTATGTTAAAAATTATAAATTTTTTAAATAAAAGTAATGTATCACACGAAATAAGCTGTAAGTTCAGAATTTGATGTTGTATGTTTGTGTTTGTTCACTTAACTTCTTGAGTATTAATATATTTGTTGAATTTTTTTTTGTTTTATAATAAAAACTAAACATTCTTTCAAGCTGCATATTTAAAATTTATAACTTTGAATAAAATTTTGAAACTTTACGACTAAATCTACAAAAATATTGCTTGCGAGAAATAAGCTGTGAGTCACTGTATGTCTTTGGAGATGGCAACGCAGTCCCTTTTTGCATGAAGCTAAGGTCTTCCGGCGCCGGCTTCGCAGCGACACATCTGATCCACATTCAATGTTAAAGCCCTACACCAGCTCTCTGATAGCTAGTTTTCGGCTACATCTATGATCTTTTCGATGTTAGCAATGTCGGTGATTTTCCACTGTGTTCGTCATTCTTAACGGTTTAACAACTTCTTTTAAAGAGTTCCTGTCACATAAACGTTAGTGTTTGATAAAGTATAGTTGCTGAAACAGTTTTGAAATATTTCTAATGTTCGCACCACTTCGACGCAAAATTTACAACATGCCTGCAGATGCAAAGCTAAATCTATTTTTGCAAAAACAAAAGCAGATGCGCTCTCAATAACAAAGTTTTTACAAATGTCAAGTTATGGCGCCATAAAATTATAGGGAAAGTTTATATGTCAAAATAAGTATAAAAGCGTCATCTACTGGTAATTTTTGAGCTTTCTTATCAATGTTGTGTTTACTTTAACATGTTAATTAACTCTATGGCCGTGTGCGAGTTCGAGTAAATTGAGAGTAATAGTAAATTATGTCGGTATGGCAGCGAAAGTTGATGTTTACCAGAATTTCGAGTAGGGTAAATTAAATAAAAATTAGGTAAACAAGATGTTATCATTGTGGAAATTTTCTAAGATGTTTAAGAAATAAATAACTAAATATATTTGAAAAATTTTACACAAAAATAATAAATAAGTGCAATAAATACATAAATAAAGATTTACTAAATTTACTCAAACTCGCTCACGGCCTATATTAACATTATAAGTAATTTGTATTATAAAATTTTATTTGTTTTTAGTGTTATGATAACAACTTTATTAAAGTCTGTTTTGTTTTTTTAAGAATGTTAACTTTTATTTCGTGCGTTATTTTTTAGTATAATTCTATACGTATTTCGGCAAATTCGCTTTTGCCTTCATCAGGAGGATTCCTAATATTAAAAACATCTATGCAACTTACAAGCTATTTATACTTATTACAGGTCTTATAATTTAAATCTAATTGGTAGGGTTATTGTTGTTTTTGTCCTTGAGGGTGTTAGGTAAAAAATGGTGGGATGGGTTAGTTTTTGTTGTTCAGGCTTAATCATGCGTAGGTAGTTCGGTCAACTGGTTGGATTTGTTTTTTGGGATGTATTTGAAAAGCCATGATGATACGTTTCCCTTATCGCCGTTGAGTAACGGTGTTGCCTGATGTTTGTGTATTTCGATGCTCTCTGCCGTTTCTAATTTCCAGGTATCCCTTACGTTTTTAATTATTTGGGCATTCTCTTTGTTGATGTGGTGTTTTTCCGTTATTATATGTCTGGCGACATTTGATTTTATGTGAGGGTTTATTTTTTTCAGTGCTTCCCTCGCTTCTTTTAGGTGTTCTTCGAGCCTTACCGATAAGGGTCTTTTTGTTTGTCCGATGTACACTTTGTTGCAGGAGCCGCAGTTGATCTTGTATACCCCGCATTTTTCTAAGGAGTCGATTGGGTCTTTTGTGGATGGTAATAAACTTTCGAGTTGGTGTGGTCTACTGGAGTAAACTAGGTCGATATTGAACAACTTTATATTATTAAAATTGAATATTTGTATTTATTTATTTTATTAGAATTTTATCGTTAAAAAGTTCAATATTTAATATTTCAATTTTGTAACATTTGTAATTATATATATATGTTATTTCTTTCTACTATATGTTAAAATAAGTTTTCTCTAACAATTCAGTTTTATTATTACATTATTTAGATTAAATGTTTGTTTTGATTATAATCATATATATCTTTTCATAAATTTTATTTAATTAAACTCTTATTCTGTACACAATTTATTATTTCACTTGCTTTGCTAAAAACTATATAGTTCGCAATATATTTGTAATTGTAATGTATAAATAAGCGAAATATATTTTTTATTAATCTATTTCTTTTTTTTTTATTATAAATAATATAATGAATACATTCATAAAAGCAGTTTCCCTCATTTAGAACGTAATTTAGCCTAACTCGCACACGACCTAAGTTGCGTTCTAAATGAGGGAAATTCTAAGTTGTGCCGATAATGTAGTGATGTGTCGATACGTGTTGATAAATGGCTAAATGTGTGCAGTGCAAAAAATCCCAAAAAATCTCCCATTTGGTTTAGCATCAACTTAGCCTAACTCGCACACGACCTTATTCAACGACGCGATTTAATCGTGCGTTGAGCGTCACTTCTAATGTTATTTACTTTGTGAGAATTTGCAACAACAGCGTCTTATTTATTTAGCAAATAAGTGAATGTTAAATATTATTTAATAAATATTTTTTTTTATTACAAATTTAATGATTTTATGTGTACCATAAATTTGTGCAATCATATTACTTACTTTTTATCATAATTGCGATTGGCATGGGTTATCTTGTGCAAATGTCAATATCTATACAATTGTGGTTTAAATACAAATTACGCTGAGTTGGCAGCACTGTTGACAGTTTAACGTGAAATATCTGCCAGTTAAGTGTTTCATGTGGACTGCTGTGGTTTTTCATTATAGAAATTAAACGAAAAAGGCAGCTGAAAAGTGTTAGAAATATTTAAAACATATTTAGGTGCTTACCTAAAAGAATATATTATCAACTGGGACCGGTGACATCCGTCACACTAACATTTAACGAAGCTAATAAATTGCATGTGCAATTAGTCTATTCGGCAATACAGAAAAATTTTAATTAAATTTCATTAAAAAGGCATTTAAACAATTTAACGAAAATGAGTAAATTTACGGATATACTGAAAAAGAATTTTCCAGCAATGGACAATGAATTAAAGGAATATGTTGAAGGTATTCATTCAATACATACATAATCTAAACATATTTTTTCAATGCTTTCTCCTCTACAAGGTGTTCTTGAGGGAAGTTTGGATGACTTTGAAAATTCTGACGATATTTATGATGCCGTTGGGGATATACTACAGAGTGTGAACAGTGAAAAAACAGAGGAAAATGTCAGGTACATTTTCGAGATTCTAATAATAATATATCTGTTTAATTTATATTTAAATTTTAGGGACCTTTGTAAACAATTCTTTAACATACTTAAAGTTGATTCTAAAAATGAAGTACGAAAAGTTCTAAATGCACCTGTTAATATTGCTGAAATGGCAAAAAATATGGAATCAATGGATAAGGATATACAAAGCATTTGGGTGGTCAATAAGGACAATTCAAATGTAAATAAATAACAAAATATAATATCAAAAATTTTTTCATAAGAGATTAATATTTTAATAATATAGAAAGTTGATACCAAAAAGCTTGAAAAGGCTGAGGCGAAGTTACAACAGAAGCAGGAAAAACGTTTAGATGCCACCAAAAATCAAGTTGCACAAACTGTTAAACTACAAACAGCCACTGCGTCTCAGGTTACAAACAAGAAAAATACAAAAATGGAACAGAAAGGCACAAATCGTTCCATGGACATTAAAATAGAAAACTTCGATTTGGCATTTGGTGACAAGTAAGTTAAATAAACACTAACAAAATCAATTTAAATAAAACATTTTATTTATTTTACTAGAGTACTGCTACAAAATGCAGATCTACTGTTATCATTCGGGCGTCGATACGGTCTAGTTGGTCGCAATGGTTTGGGTAAAACGACATTATTGCGTATGATTTCAGATCGACAGTTGCAGATACCATCGCATATAACAGTATTACATGTTGAGCAAGAAGTAGTAGGCGATGAGACCTCAGCTGTTGATAGCGTGCTGGAATGTGACACCGAAAGAACACGTTTACTAACACGCGAGAAAGATATACTAGCAGCTTTGAACAGTGGCGTACAGGACACGTCGCTAAGTGCGGAACTAAGTGAAATTTATATACAATTACAAAATATCGAAGCTGATAAAGCTGTGGCGCGTGCATCTGTGATACTTAAAGGTCTAGGTTTTGATGCTGATATGCAACAACGTCCAACTAAATCATTCTCAGGTGGTTGGCGTATGCGTTTAGCTTTAGCACGTGCACTTTTCTCAAAACCAGATCTATTATTACTTGATGAACCGACAAACATGTTGGATATTAAGGCTATCATTTGGTTAGAAAATTATTTACAAACGTGGCCCACCACTTTGTTAGTAGTATCGCACGATCGTAATTTCTTGGATACCGTACCAACAGATATAATACATTTACATTCCCAAATTTTGGAACCATACAAGTAATTTGTTATTAAAATTGCTTAAACTTTATTTTAATTACATATTTTTTATTGCTTTTAGAGGAAATTATGAACAGTTTGAGAAGACGAAGAATGAGAAACTGAAAGCACAAAGACGCGAATATGAGGCACAATTAGCGTATCGGGCACATGTTCAAGAATTTATTGATCGTTTTCGATATAATGCTAATCGAGCATCGTCCGTGCAATCAAAAATCAAAATGCTGGAAAAACTGTAAGTTTAACCAAAAAAAGACCTACAATATTTTTAATGTCTTAGTCATATTTATATGATATTATGTACATATGTAGATAGATTTAGAAAGGATTAGGAACTATGCCACCATGTCACTGCATTCTTTGAGGACTATTGTGATAAACATACTTTAATTTCACAGGCGCGTAGTAGTTAAAAATTTGATTATATTCCTTAGAGAGATAAAAAGCGAAGTCTGAGTCTGGTTAGAGTATTACAGTGACACAGAATGTGCTCTGCTCTTTCCTCTTCTTCATGAGAAAGTATGTAGTTATCGTCCCTTGTAATACCTAGAATCAATAAAGATTTTTTGATTCCAGAATGTCCAGTGAGAAACCTTGTAACAGATCGGCTACCTTTTCTCTTCAGCATTAGTAGCTCCCTAGTTCTGACTTTTGATCGATTTGGCATGGATTCTTTAGCTTGTTTACAAGCAATAACTTTATCCCAATCAGTCTTAGCTGTTTAGCTGAAATATTTAATTATAAATGTTTAATATCCTATTATAAGATTTATGTTTCGAATAGAAAACAGTTAAACAAATCTAAATAAGTAAACTAATTTTTTAATAACTTTTTTAATCATTAAATCATTTGTTTTATATATTTATAGACCTGAACTGAAACCTGTTGAAAAAGAGATTGAAGTTAAGCTTAAGTTTCCTGAAGTTGAGCCCCTTAATCCACCAGTTATGGCTATTTCCGAAATCGAATTCCGTTACAGTTCCTCTGATCCATTACCAATATTCAAGAATGTTTCACTTTCAGCTACCTCAGATTCCAGAATTTGCATTGTAAGCTACAAACAATTGTTAATAAATTGCACTTTAACTCAAATAACACTTTTATATTTCTAAAGGTTGGTGAAAATGGCGCCGGTAAATCAACGCTACTTAAAATCATTGTCGGTCAACTGAGCACAATAATTGGCAATATTGTATTACATCGTAGCTTAAGGATAGGTTACTTCGCACAACATCATGTGGATCATTTAAATATGAATCAAACCTGCGTAGGCGTATTAGCGGAACTGTTTCCTGGTCGACCTGATGAAGAATACCGTAGACAATTAGGTAGCTTTGGTATATCTGGTACTCTAGCTTTGCAAAGTATTGCCAGCTTGTCTGGAGGACAGAAATCACGTGTGGCATTAGCTAAAATGTGCATGGGTATGTAATATAATTTCTTTTGAATGTTGTAGGTTTTAATTTGTAAAAATCCCCTTATAGCTGAACCTAATTTCTTGGTACTTGATGAACCTACAAATCACTTGGATATCGAAACGATTGATGCTTTAGGAAAAGCAATTAATGCATTTAAGGTAATTAAACACAAACATTACTATATTAATTTATTTATTATTAATTTTTATTACTGATTTTTAAAGGGTGGTATTATATTAGTTTCTCACGATGAGCGTCTCATTAAAGTAGTTTGCAAGGAACTATGGGTTTGTGGAAATCGTACTGTACGCGCAATTGAAGGTGGTTTAGATGAATACAAACGTGAAGTATATAAAGAGATTGAAGAGAATAGTTAAAAACTGTATGAAATATCAACATTCTTATCAAATAATTGTTCACAAGAAGCTTACAACAACCTCTCAAGTGATAAAAATACAAATAACAAAACACATTTCACAACCTCATTAAAGAAGTGTATGATAAGCATGATTTTAAATATTTTCCTACTAAATTGAAACTAATAGTATAACTATTATAAATTTAGTAAAATTATTACGAAATTATTATAAATAAATTATTTTAATTTAAATAAATATTTTCTATTTAAAATACTAATTTAACTGTATTTTTTCCCTTTTGAGGAGAGTGTCTAGGATCGTTTCATATCTCCCTATAGCTAGGTTCATTAGATACGTTTTTACAAGTATAAAAATTTCGTTAAAAAAGATATGATATAGGAATGAAATCTGCGCACAGGACTCAGAAATGGTATTTAAGAGAAGCAATTGCTCGAGGTTTCACGATTTGCTGACGATGTACAAATTCAATCAAATAACCGGAAGGATTTGTTTGACAACTGATTTACATGAGACTATATCCCAATTAATGCTAAAACCGACAGGAGTAGTTGATTCCAAGAACGGTAGGGTCTACGTCCCGACGGCCCAGTGTAAAACTCGACGTGCCAGTGCTGTTCAGCACTCTCCAAAGGAATTACACAGGTAGATCATTGCGGGCTAACATAACAACAAGAACAACTAAAGTAGTTCTAAGTCCTAGAGACAATCTAGTTACCACAGCTCTGATTAGTGGTAGATAGGCATTTGCATTTGTCTTAAAAATTTAAAAAATCATACCATAAGGTAAACCAACAAATTATTTCCATTGAAGTGGCTACATTCCCTCTACCCTGGAACGAGGTTAATTTCAATTAAAATCCCATTTATCCATGAATTTCTCTTGTTTTCAGACAGGTTTCCCTTGCCTCACAATTCATTAACCCAATTATAACCTAGTACATGCAATATATATATAGCAGCCACTGATATTTCTTAAGGTTGGTGAGAACGGCGCCGGTATTGCAGCCAACCCAGCTATATAGATCTCTACGGACTACTATGACAACAATAACAAGTAATAATTATGCTAATTCAAACACCTCTAAGAATAGAAAACCCTTTAGGCGAGTTACAGACGATAAATAACACTTTCTGGATTGATGTTACTATATGTAACTCCTTTATCAGGCTATTAATTTTGTTGACGTGCGACATATGATTAACAATCACAAGCAAAAGTGGTCTACAGAATATTACTGTATCCTTATCTAAACTATAAGAGTAACCACCACCGATTTCAGTGTATCTAGTATCTATGTGTTTTAGTATTATATGCCATTGAATATATGGTAGTCTCATCAAAAGTATTTTGATTGCATTTATCACTTTTATCATATACATAAACATGCATTTTAATTTGTGGATTCAAATCACCATAACTTTATTTAATTTTTTTTTTAATGGTACCCATTTTAATAACTATGTCTAAAACAAATCATATTAGTAAATTTTGCATTTGATAAGAATATATAATATTTTAATGCAATTTGTTCAATAAAGTTTGTTCATTTAAATTTTGCAAATGCCGATAATACCGCAACCGATACGAGCTCCAGCATTTCCAGTTGATTTGCTCAGCTCATGACCACCTTTGCCCAAGTCATCAGGATCAGCATGTACAACTACAGCGCGTCCAACAATGCTATTGGCACCGTATAAGGTGATTTTGCCATCATCAATACAAACCTATTACCAAAATATCAAATAAATATATTTTCATTTTCAGTTCTTCATAATAATATTTTACATACCTTTGTAGGACCATCTCCAGATGCTTCAATGTTACCCAAATCACCAATGTGTCTGTTCTCATCGACGGGGGCACCGTGTTCCTTGCCGTGTGGGTTGAAATGAGGTCCAGCTGATGTGCAACCATTGGTATTGTCACCAAATTCATGAACATGGAATCCATGCAAACCCTTTGATAGTCCTGTGACTTCACCAGTTACTTTAACTGAACAACTGTCATTCTGAAAATGATTTTAAATATTATTTGTTTGAAAGATTTCTGTTAATAAATCTAAACGATGTGTAAGATTTCTATTGAAAATCTTATCAATTTGTAATATTACTATTGATAAAAACTACTATTGATAGTATCAGTGTTTGTCAATGTGGTTAGTGATGTCTACATCACTAACTATCTACATCAGCGTTTAAAAACTCAAAAAGTACTGCGTTTTTTTTAACGTCTAAGTTCTTACTTGTACTTCCTATAACTAAGAAATAATGATGTACAGGTTCCCAGTAATTACCTTTCAATTTGATGAAACGCTCTTTTAATGTTTAATTTAACTAACAAATATCCAATATTATCTATAAGTTAGATTAAGAATCTAAAAAATTATTAGTTTTTTTTACTTTAAATGTTAAAATTTTTTTTCAAATTCTAAGATAACACCCAGACCAGTACTAGGTTGTGGGTATTACCTCAAAAAATAAAAACAACAAATCGATGTCATTACACTGCTCTACAGAATATCCTCTCCTTTCCACTGCTTCAACGAGTGATGTTCTACTTATGAGCAGAGCTATATATTTGAGTTAATTCTTTAAACAAAACACTATAGGAGTGTCAAAAATCATTGCAAGATTAAAACCCATCTACCCAATGGTGTCGTATTGACAGTCTAAATTTAATCTGTAGATAATTTATGTAGTAATTCAGCCGAAATTGCTGATGTGAGCTTTTTGTGTTACATCAGAACAATGCCAAGCTTGGTTGACTTGGTCCACACTTGACATCAATTGATTACCATCTATTCCTGGCAAATAATTTTACTGGTGAAAAATTTGCTTCAAGGGAGGCTTTTGAATATCGATAGTTTCAATATTTTGTCTATAGAGACGAGGATTTCTATAAGAGATTCATAATAAAATTACCTTTGAAATGGCAACAAGTTATCGCACAAAACGGCGTATAACAAATGATCCCAAATCGGAACATTCTATGATAAATAAGCCTGCAATTTCATGCAAAAATAATGGATTTCTTTTTGCTATATCTATAAGATAGTACATCTATATTTCACTTAAAGATTTATAGTAATACTTTTTGTATTAAAATTATTTTTTCAAATAAAACATTATTTGGTATTTATAATGATAACAATGTAATTTAAATGCGATCAACTTCAGACTTTTTTGAGTAAATCAAACACAAGCAAAACTTATAATTAAACATTTTGTATTAAACACAAGCTCAACTTCCATTAGTTAAGTGAATTATATTAATACTAATTATAATTTAGTTCAGAGGTTAAGTGAATTTTTAAATTGGTGGACAATAAAACAACATAAACATGTGAAACTCATTTATTATCTAAGTTAATTAAAGAAAAAAAAATTTTGTTACTAAATAAAATGTGTGGTTTTTATAAAATAATATCAATTACACTTTTTTAGATTTTTATAAAACGATTCTAATATAATAGAGACAACCACAAAGTACAGTACGTTTTTATACCGGATTCCGCACTTCGGATGAGATGCCGACGCCGCTAATATAGAAATAACAACACAAAACATAAATTATATAACTACTTGTTGTTGTTGCTTTTTAATATTGATTAACAAAATTGTTTTTTATATGTCACAAATTATTTCAATTACTTATTAGCACACATTCTATAGGCCGGGTTCATCAATTATTATCACACATATACATATGTAAACCTTATAATCATTGCAAGTGACAATGCAACTTTTTATCAAAATTCACTTAAGAATTCTAAGCACTTTAAATACGGTTACTTCACCAATGTCCATATTCAAATAAAAACAATTTCAAGAAAATTACCTCTTGTTCAAAGTAGACGGTTCCTTGAGCGTCTCCATTAATAACACAAACTGCTTTAGCTGGCATTTTGTTAATAAATTTTACACACTTTCAACAGCAAAATATCTACTTCGCACAAACGGCTCAAAGATCAATGGTGGAATGTATGCAGTTGCCTTTCAAGTTTTGACAAGTTTCAAGTAACTATTCACAATTACTTCTACTACTGTGAATGGCAATGTTGGTATTCACAATTATATTTTAATGTTTTAGATATATTTAGATAAAATTATAATATCCTAGAATCAGAGATTTATCCCACGACAGTTCTTGAAGAAAGTTATTTGGCCAATCTAACTTAATATTGCAATGTGGGGTCAAAAATTGTAAATTTTATTACCGATTGAATGAACAAAATGTAATCACGACATAGTAACAACAAGTATGAATATACAGTATAGATTATAATATGATGACAAATAATCCATCTAGCTCATTTAGATGTTATCTGTGTAATCTATATAAAAACTTAACATGTTTGACTCTGAAACAAGCCATATCGCTATAAAGCATAGTAGAAACATGTAGTAAAAACATGGGACCCAAGAAATCGTAATCTTACAAATAATGCTGTTGCATTATTACAATAAAAATGTTAATCTGCAGAATTCATGCAGTGATGCTGGATTAAAATTATTACTCAATTGAAAACACAAATAATCGAGTGTTCTATTCTATTACATTAACAAACTCTTTCGCAAAAACAGCAACTACATTGCAAATATAGTTTTTTTCAGGAACTTAAAATCAGTATTATATGGCATTTACATTGACCACAAATGGCTTATTTTGGTCACAAATCAAAAATTACAAGTAAATGACTCATTTTTGCATACAAAATCTCAAGCGCAAATGAGATCCATGGAATCTCATTCTGTATAAATGACATCAAACGAGGTTAGAATGAGTTCCATATATGTTCCGAATGCAGATGAATACGTTGAAAATACCTTAATAAAAGCTTTTCATGGCATTTTGACAGTTTGAGAAAGCTATTTTCGACATATTTACGAAAAAGATAAACAAATGTTTGGTGGTTACATTCCCTTGAAAACGACACACGTCTTTTTGGAACTTCTACTTTCCAAAGATAAATTAATCGAAGCTAAAAATAAGTTTTCAGTTTATATTGTAAGATTTGAAGGTATATTTAACCTTCATGTAATATTTTTGTTGGCACAGACCAAAAATCAAATAGGTAACTTGAAAAATCAAGAAATAAGAACAAATGAATTACAACGAATGTAAACACTTTCATATGATTCATTTGAAATGCCTCATTTTCAGCTAGTGTAAACCCCATATTAGGTTCTTGTAAGCGGCCTTAAAAGAATTCTGATAGAAAACCTCTTTTAGTTTAAAGCGGTTTAACAATTTTAGTGAGAAACATCGCTTTTAAACATTACATAACATCTTTAAAGGAATTATAAAGTTTGGGTATCACTTATCAGTAAAAGCACTTTAAAAGTTTAATTAGCTTAATTTCGTCTACGTTTCAGCTATTTTCAGCTAAATTAAGTTATTTTTTCCATACAAAATTCAGTTTTAGTGTTAGAACAAAATTAAGAAAAATAGCCTTAATTACGTTGAAACGAGGGCTGAAATGAAGGGACATTTCAAATGCAACTATGCGTAAGATAAATTTAAAGGAAAAAATAAAGATGAGATAACAAAAAAGTAGTATTTTTTTTAAATAAATGTCAGTAACAGTTCATTTTAATAAAACTGGAAAAATATTTTGAAAGTAGTGCAAATTTTTATATTTATATTTGTTAACTGTTATTAATTTAAAATAGAATGAAAAGTAATAATTCTTCAAGTATGTGAATCCACTAAAGCTAATAAAACTACTGAATGTCATCCTTTATAGTTATAATAATCAAAATTCAAAATTATCCAGATACAAATAGTGTTTGGAGCATATAATTTTTATCATTTAATTTGTAAACAAAAAAAAATATGATATCCTTCATTTCGAAATTAACTTAATTTCATTTTTATAAAATTAAGAAAATTTGGCTGTCTGAACATAGTATAAACGTATCACATACAATAGGGGTATTTTGTACATAATGTAAAAATCTGTAAAATACACTTAATTTCTTATTTTTAATAAATTTAAAACAGAGATAAGCCATCCATCCATACACATAAACGCATACATTCCTGAATAATGAATAATTAATTTCTGAATTTTGAAAACGCTACGCGGCAAGAAATATTTACCAAAATATTTTATTTAACTGCGAAACATATAGATTTTAACTTACTTAATATGTAATATTATATAAAATGTGAAAACTTGTGTTAAGTTACCAAATAAAAACAATATCATCATTCTTTACTATCATTTGTAATTTTTGATTCATTTAAAACTATTAAAACTTTTAAGAAGTTTAAAACAATAATCTGTTATAATATTATTTCTTAATTAATTAATAAAATATTTAGTTTATTTTGTTTTGAAGTTTATTATTAGAAAATCTTATTAAAAATAATAAGAATGTTAATACAATATCCCTCAGGATTTTTAACGAATATAAGAAACAACAAGAACTATGACGGGTAAGGTAAGCTCAGTTTGCATTGTAAAATTATGCTCATTTTCATTTCGAAATCATTTTTTTTTTGTAATAATTTAAAATATAAGCTAATTTTTAACAGTTTGTAATCGACTTACTTGTGGTCACACTGCAGGCATAAATCGACATCTTCAAAATTTGTGAATAAATAGTTAAAATTTTCATCATCATCCGTGACTATATAGTCCATGTAGGACCTAAGCCTATTTAACAACAGTCTTCCATTGTTCTCTGTTTTTTGCTTTTCTTTTCCAATTTCTTATATTCATTACTTTTAAGTCCTGCTGCACACTGTCTTTCCATCGTTTTCCTGATCGCCTTCTTCTTCTTCTGCTGGTTCCTACTTCGTTCTCATAAATCTTAAGCGATACTCTCATATCTAGCATTCTTATCATATGTCCAAACCATCTTAATCGCTGCTTTTTCATACATTTGTTGTTTGTAGTTAAAGTTATGATGCATAAACGGAGCGTCTGGCTGTCGCTGCTGCTTTGGTTTTTAGTTCCAATGATCCAAGACCTTTTTTGTTGAAGCGCTGGGATTTGACGTAATAAAATTTAGTATAGTAATTAATAAACTAAAGTATAATTTACCAAATATAATTGTATATTATATCCTTGATTTTGTTGTCGCTACAGCTAGAATATTTAAGGGATAACAGACTGATTTTTACTGTCTACTTCATATATATTTATATATATAATACTTATTAAGTTAATGGAAATATTTATTTGTCTTAAATAAAAACGCTAATGGAGTTTAGGTTTAATACACATTTTTTGTCCAAACACTTAATTGGTTGTTTTATTAATAGAAAGAGGTGCAATCATTATACAAGTAATTTTATATAATAATAAATTTTTTGTAGATCAATAATAATTTTAATATAGAATTATACATATTTTGTAATCAAATACAAACTTAATTACATCAACTTAGTAATGATTATTTAAAAGTTCAATGCTTTTTTCTTTTGTTTTTTATTTTTTTGTAAACTTTTTAGATCTTCAAGTATATTGAATTCGTCTAAAGAGCAAAAAAACTAAATTGAATTCGTTACACGAATAAATTTTCGAAATTATAATATATAAGTATAAAAAAAAACTAATATTAAAATATGGTAATAAAATAAGCAAAATTCACATAATTTTTGTTGTCAAATTCAATATACATGATTGGTATTTGTATTTGTTTTTGTGTTTACGTGTGTTTGTCGTTTCTCAAATTTGATTTAATGTATATAGGTTTCAATTATGTTGCTTAACACGCACATTGTAAACACATCAGAGTACTTCAGAAATATATTTTGGCCGTTTGGCACCGTCACACTCATCGCCAGATTCCATATTGCCACTATAATCTGTTGGCATTTCCTCATAGATGATATCAGGATGTAGTGGTTGTTTAATTTGTTGTTGCTGTGGTTGTTGTTGTTGTTGCTGCTGCTGCTGCTGTTGTTGGTGATGAGCAATATTTGCTGCACCAGTATTTGCAGTCATGGGATTATTACGTTTGAGTTGAATAAGAGTTCCAACTGAATTGCCTCCACTATTTCCACTGCTTTCGTGTTGTAATTGTGCTCCTCCAGGTAAACCAATAACAGAATTTTGATTTGAAATGTAATATGGGCTGCCACTACTAATAAAATTATAATTGCATATTTATTTCAGTTTTTTATAAATATAAATATATATAATTTTATGCTTACTTATATTGAGTGTGAGAATTATTTGCAGCTGATTGGTGTACATTTTGAGAATTATACACAAGATCTTTAACAAAAAAAAAAAAAAGAAAAGATAATATTACACATTATATAAACTATATTAATATTATTGCAATTTTTGTTTACTAACCAGCTTCAGCTGGACGATTTTCCAAAGATAAGCCTGGTGATCCAGGTGCAGATTGTAATACAATATCTTGCAATGGTGAACTCTCACGTGAATTGTCTACAAAAAAAATTATTTTGTTAATAAAAATCTTTTCTTTGAAAATTTGTTATAAAAATACCCATATGACTTGGTGATACTGGTGCAGAACGTGGCATACCGTATGAAGGTCTAAAACCTTGACTACTGCGTTGACGTCGCTTCTTATAGCTGTGATCAATCAATTTGGCACCACTATCAGGATCAATACGCCAGAAGCTACCTTTACCTGGTTCATCCTGAGAACGTGCCACTTTAATAAAATATCTACAAAAGTACAAAAAGTTTATTATTATCGTAACAATTGACAATAATATCGATATGAATTTTATAACTTAAAGAACTAAAGAAACGGTCTACTCAAAATTTCATGAAAGATACTTTTACCGGCTGTCATTGTATGTTGATCATCTTCAATATATTTGTTGTAAAAAAGTATTATTAACTAATGTCCAAGCAATATTTTGTGTGCCGCACAGATCTGCATCTTATTCGTGACATGGACATAAAGCCCTTTCTCTACGCCGCATCAGACGATCCTTGTCTTCGCATCTAATGAGTGCATAAAAACCCACTGCAATAGAAGCTAAACACAAACAAGGGCTAATAGCTATTCATACTATTGCAGTATCCCCTTCGAGTCACGGTTACATAGTAACAAAGCTTTCCACTAGCTTTCGTGTGATATCTCTAGAGAGGAGAGACGATGTCCTCGTGCAGCAACCAGTTTTTTTATGCTAATCAGGACATATTCGCGTGATAAACAGTTACTTGTCACTTATAAATAAGTCAATTTTCCATTTTTGCTGTAACTGCAGGTCCACTTCACATGACGTCGTCCCTTTGTTCTTATATCCTAATATATATATAAATCGGAGCCCTATTAATATTTGGCTCCAATCTATTAAATTACATAAACTTCTACACCACGACCCTGGCTAGTTTTAATTAAAACCCATCCAGCTCTTATTCAACCCCCTTATCCCAAACATCCCTTCCTCTTTTCACTTTACTCTCATCTAATCATAGTCTAACCCATATATTCGTATTTAAATTTTCTTCATGTTTCCTAATATAAAGTGATCTACCGATTAGATTAGCAACAACGACATTGTGTTGGCAGATGAGTATTGTATTGAATTGTTTGATCTATTCGTCCTCGGAAAGATCAATTTATTTAAAACTTTTAAATAAGTTACTAAAGAACAATGGGTCAATCTCTTCCTAAATTAAAAGCTTCAATTATATAAACACTTATATTAAAAGAATATTTTTTTACTATTAGAATTTTTTAATTGTTAAATTTTTAATACAGTACTTACCTATTTAAACTGAGATTATGACGTATGGAATTTTGCCAACCCTTGTTAGTCTCCTTTCGGTAGTATGGATAATGTTTCACAATAAATGAATAAATGCCCGATAGCGTTAATTGCTTATCTGGTGCAGCAGATATAGCTTGTACTATTAATTGAGCATAGCTGTAAGGTGGCTTCTCATTGTGGTTGTAACTAGCAGTTGAAGGTGTTTGGAATAAATCCTGCTAAAATTAATAAACATTATTATTTATGTTAAAATGTATAAAAGTTGTTGTTGGATTTACGTTTTGTAAATTGTTGTTTGCATAATTGTTGTAATTGTTTTGGTTTTGATGAAAACTTTGACGCGGACTTGCTGGACAACTGTTTGCTGCACTTATCGTACCTAAAAGAAAATCATAAAAAATTTGCTAAATTAGTATAAATCAATATTTAAAAATATATGTATATATATAAATAAATACATATTAAACAATATGTTAACAGGAAAGAAATGGATTGATAATGGCTGCAAGGACGATCGGGTCTACTTTACAGAGCTATAAGTATGTTATTTTCAAATGAACAAGTGCTAGCACACTCCTTACAAAACAAACTTAAAAAACAATCCTATTTTCAGTTTATGTCTAGAGAACTTACAACTTACAACACAAAAGAGAAACAATGGATAAATGATGGGAAATAGTTAACTAACAAAATAAGTATGTTTGAGCGGAAAGCCGTTGTATCTGATCGGAAAAAATAAAACCAATAGAAAACAGGAAAAAAAAACTAGACAGTATAACATCGAAAGCTACACATGTTAAGTGAAAGATATATAAATATCTAACCAAAAAAGAGTCAGCTTCAGTAATTCCTTTTTTTTTTTAAATTAAGTGTTCCTTTAATATTATGGCGAAGTAGTATTGGGACGTTAACTTCTTCTCTTTGTTTTAATAGAGTTAGATTATAGACTGGTAATAGATTCAGATTTAAATTGTTTAGTCAGTGTACGTTAGCACTCCAAAATGCTCGAACAGCTCGAGTATGCACGAATTTAAACATTTCCATGAGTAGAAAACACGAAAGGAGGAAACATTTTATATGTTCGAAAAGGAAACCTCCTTTATATAATGTTTAATATAATATTATTTGTGTAATACAAAATTCTCGAAAACACCATATGGTATTATGGAGTGGTTCTCTGTATTTGAGCACAAGTATACTGGACCATCAATATACTAGAAATTTTCAATAGCTGAAGTAATACTTGTAGCTCTAATAATGTATGTAACACATTTTGATTCGCAGTTTTTTTTTAAACAAAAAAAAAAATTCTTAATATAATTTATCAAAATACTCATTAAAATAATAAAAATGCGCGCAAAATTTGTTTAGTGCATTGGGAAAAAAATTAAATAAATGCCAGTTAACAGCACCAAAAATTGCAAAATCGTTTATGTTTATGTCTTTATTGATATTTTAATTAACTACTTACGTACATTATTTCTGTAATTCATTATATAGAAGGATAAAGTGTTTTACATGAATTTTGTGGAGTATATTAGATATTAGGCGAGAGATTTGGTATCATATTTCCACTTTTTATTGGAATTTTAATTAAATCATATATAACGAATTATGCATTATTAATCATAATCATGTAGAATTAATGGCAGCATATCTACTGTACTGTCTAGTGGCTGAGATTTTATCTCGTAAATAAATATATTGTGTAGATGCGGTTTACTATAGACTAAAAATATTTTATTTCAAGAATTTAACTTTTAATACTAAGTGAATCTAACCCCGAGGATGGCAGTCTGTTAGATGTATCTAATCGCCTTCAAAAAGTGAAGCGTGCCTATGCTTATTAATTAGAG